ACCTTGCCAGGGGTTTGTAATATCCAGAGAGCTCAGAAAATCAGAAGGCTATGAGTTTCTCGGGAGGACTTTAGAGGACGATTCCTTTTGATCAAAGTAGCATAGGTAGCTACAGGTACAGTAAGTATTTGCTTTCTTTTTTGTAGTTATGTCATTGCAAAGGGAAAATAAACAATTATTTCTTAGCTTATGATAATAATAAAGCTCAGCGTTATGTATTTTTGTTCTAAAGGTATTGTTATTGTTTGTGTTTATGTTGTTTTATATTCTGGTACTGAGCAAAAAAAATAAAAACAATATTTTACCCACATTTTATAGCAAACAGAACTTTTCTTAATAACAAGTAGGTTGTTTTGTCTACTTTCCTTTGCATTAGAAGGACACATATTATACATGAAATTTACTTTAATAGTGACGATGCTTACTTGCAATCTGTTGCACTCCCTGGATCTGCCCGCTTATCTCAACCTTGCTAGGACACCTGACTTTGCTATGCTCCTGAATTTGGAGTTGATTTGATAAAGGCAAATAGGATGCTCATTTCACAAGTGAAGTTGCACTTTGCAAATTTATTTTCCCCAGAGCTTAGTGAATGCGGTAACATTTCACACTGCAAATGAATAACACAGTTAATGTTAAGAATGATACTTCATATTTGATTACTTTGTCTCAAGATTTACTACATCACCTAAAATATTTACAACCTGATAATCATTATTTGAAGGTGTCCACAGACATGAAGAGAGATTCTCCCAATCTCCATCTCTACAGTGCAGCCCATCTAGTGTCATACTCATCTCTGTCCAAGCAATTTTTCTGTGGGGCCCTACAGGCTATTGCACATTCTTACTTCTGAAAATGTCCTTTCCGGAGTCTCCTCAGCCTGCATAGGAGGACCATTTGGAGAGCATCCAGTGTTCCTCCAGAGTAAAGCTGTCCTCAGCTTGGACAATATCACATTGTTAGTGCAACTGTGCATGCATGCCCAACTTTTCACTAAGATCTGCTGGTGTATCTAATATCTATCCTACAGTAGCCAAAATAATAACTGTCGTCTCCAGTATTAATCTGATGGTAATTAGCAATACCATTATTATGTGTGCCTGTGAATGTTTTTCTCTGCTATCACTGCTTCCTTTGCAAGCTTCCAGTGTACAGTATTGGTGCAGGTTAAGAGATTTAAGGGAAACCTGCACATCTATAGGTTGCAATTACTAACCTTTTTCTGAAAAGTTGCCTGGCTGTTAAGCTGATCCAATAAGTTCATTACTTTCTAAGTTAGCCCATAGATCAGGGGTGTCAAACTGGTGGCCCTCCAGTTGTTGCGAAACTACGTACCACCATGCCTCTGCCTTTGGGAGTCATGCTTGTAACTGTCAATCTTGCAATGCCTCATGGGACTTGTAGTTTGGCAACAGCTGGAGGGCCGCCAGTTTGACACCCGTGCGATAGATGATCCATTTTTTTCCGTTCAACCAGCAGTTAAACCAGACTCGATTCCCCCATCCACACATTTGAGGTGGATGGGGGAATCCTTCCCGCCGTGCCTTTGTCTTCTGACAGCTGGGAGACTTCCCCGCCATCAGAATACACTGATTAGTGTCGTTAGTGCTGATCAAGTGGAGATTTTCCAACAGGGAAGTTGTACAGAAGTTGATAGACTTCTGTACAACCACCTATCAGGAGCATGTAGTGCTCCAACACAGCTGTTGGTCTCATTCCAGCATCCTGGTTTGGGTTGTGATACTCTCTCCCTGTCTGTCCACCTGCAAGGTGATTGATGTGGCCAGTCTCTGAGTGGAGACCAAATCTGATTTAAGCCAGCCAAGCCTGCAGTTTCATGCTTGCGATATTGCGCTTTTAACATGCTCCAAGCCCTGTTTGTCTGCCCTGCTCTGCTAGTATGGATTTCCTCGTTGATGACCTCGTTTTGGATATCAACTACTACTGCTCTGAACTCTGTCTGCTTGTTGAATACAGACTGACCCTGGCTATTCTAAACATTGCCTGCCTTGTACTTGGACTGTCATTGAACCACTCTGCCTGTCTGCCAACCACAAGTACCAGTTTGTTGTGCTTAGTTCGCGCCTGCCCCAACATGGAAGCCAGGCACTATAGCATTGTGTATAAGTCATAGGGGAAACTGAGTACTGTAGGCCTGTTTGCCTTATGGCAAAGGGTCTGCTTAAGTAAGAACACAGAAGCCAGCTATAGTGTCTGACCACCTGCGTGGGGTAAGCGTGACACCACCCTGTCCATACATGTATTGAAATTAAGCCAGTTCGATGAATTTTAATCTACATACAGTATGATTGCCTTACCCTACTAAAAAGGAACAAGCATGAAAATTAGGAGTTTCAGCTTGGCCCACTCTATTTTATAATAGTTCTTGGTCAGTTACTTAGAGTATCAAAATCAGAGAGAGCCAGGCAATTATTATTTTCATGTCCATATTGGCATCCTATGTTTCCTTCAACACGGATATCCTTTAGGCAGAACTTCACCCTCCCAATCAACACTGACCAATTGTATTCCTTATGCGGCTAGCTTTGGTAAATTGATAGGAAAGTACGGTATATCCTATTTACTTGTTTTTTATTTTTTTTTTTTTTTAGATTTATTCAGTTACTTCCTGGTTTCCATGACTAGGCAAATTATGTCATAAGGAGTCTTCAGAACAGGAGTAGGGTTTTACTTAGGTAAGCACATCCTCCTGTCTGCATGTCTGAGCTAAGGGTAAATGGATTCCAGGAAGCAAATGCTGCATGAATCATCTGCCCTTACTCAAGATGGTTGCGACCACAAATGCTAGGGGGGTGTTTTTAACCGCTTTCCCGACCGCCCTCTAGCAGATATACTGCTACAGGGCGGCATGGGTGCGCAAAATCACGCATACATACATGATTTTGCATTTTCGAGTAGGGGTGCCCACGGCACCCGACAGTTGCTGAGTATCACTGACGGGGGAAGAGACCTGTATGTAAACAATACAGATCTCTCCCATCAGCTCCTGCACACTTCTTTGTATTTCTCTGCATACACACAGTAAAACAGCACACAGTTAACCCTTTGATCACCCCAGATATTAACCCCTTCCCTTCACCCTACCCGCACCGCCATTCAATCACACCATTCAAGCCACGCTGCAGCTGTCAATCACCAGGTCCTGTCCGATAATTACTCACCAGCACCTGGTGATTGCCGAGCATCTCCGACGGGGAGAACACAGCTTACAGTGAAACAGCACAAAGTTAACCCTTTGATTGCCCGTGTTAACCCCTTCCTGCCCAGTGCCATTAGTAGTGTCAGTGCTTTATATTAGCACTGCTCAATGTAATGGTGTCACTGGGGATGTTATTGACACCAAGTCAGTTTCCCCCAGTGTCAGAATGCCCGTCGCAGTCCCGCTATAAGTCGCTGATCACCGCCATTACTAGTAAAAATATAAAAAAAAATTACAGTATCTATACAGCCATTTGTAAACTTTATAATTTTCACGTAAACCAACAAATTTACATGTTTTGGGATTTTTTTTTTTTTTTTTTTTAGCAAAGACATGTAGAATACATTTTGATCTAAATTTATGAGGAAATTTGATTTTTAAAATGTTTTCACTGGACATGTTTAATACCAAAAAGTCCAAAATATAGTTTTTTCTCTCGAATTTGTCAGTTTTTCTTTTTTATATAGCGCAAAAAAACCCCGCATAGGCGATCAAATACCACCGAAACAAAGCTCAATTTGTGGGAAGGGGGGGGGGGGGGGGAGACGTAAATTTACATTTCATTTGGGTGCAGCGTTGCATGGCCGCGCAATTGTAAAGTAACACAGTTCCGTAACGCAAAAAATGGCCTGGTCAGGAAGGGGAGTGAATCCTCAGGAGGGCAAGTGGTTAAAAGTGATTTCTCAGCACAATAAAGCATGGAGACATGGATGGATCGGTGAGTTTGCTTTGAATATTAAAAATTAAATAAACAGTATTTTTGCTTTACGGTGCTCAGATGCAGTAAAGTTCTGCTTTAAGTATCTGGGAGCTACAACCAGCCAGGTTTAAAAGGTCACATTTACAGAATAGTAGCTGCATGAGGAAAACTATATTACACCTTAAATAAGGGCATTGCAGGTAAGATCAAGCATTAGAATATATAATGAGGGCAGCACGGTGGCTAAATGGTTAGCACTTCTGCGTGGCAGTACTAGGGTCATTGGTTTGAATCCCAACCACAGCACCACCTGCCAGGTGTTTGCATTTTCTCCCTGTGCCTATGTGGGTTTCCTCTGGGGTCTCCAGTTACCTCCCACACTCCAAAGACATGCTGGTAGGTTAATTGGATCCTGTCTAAATTGGCCCTAGTATGTGTATGTATGAATGTGAGTTAGGGACCTTAGATTGTACACCCCTTAAGGTTTAGGTACTGATGTGAATGTATATATATAAAAAAATAAATATATATGTGTAAAGCGCTATATAAGTACCTGATATAAATAAATAATGTCAGATAAAACCAGATATTAGAATGAACACAACGTTTTATAACCCTTTATTTGATGAAATGTAGTCTCCAGTTTGAAGCCAGCAATGTAGATGGGTTTTGTACATTGGACATCCTAAAACAGAAAAACTAAAATGTGCAATCGTTTTGTATATGCATTCAATCACATGCTTACTGTCTCACTGCATTTCAGTTTTAGTAAAGGTGACCATTGTGGGTAATTTATTTGGTCTTGGTCTCCTTGTTAGTATCATAGTTACACAGGTTCTACCTACTTCATACTTTCACCAAGACTGTTTTTATTATACATTTCCTGCTTGTGGTTTCTGAGGTTAAGTAGACTCTGTAAAAAAAGAGCAATTGAAAAGAGCCAGTTATGGGAGAGCTTTTAAAACTGAAATTGATTTAAAAATCCCTGCAGCTTACAAGGTCGTGCATGAACATATACAACAGGTCAGTCCAGGAAACCCATGGAAGCGTGCTTGCCATACTGTCCTTTCACTTCCTCTATCGTCGCTTCTTCGCCGGCTTGTACGCAATAAGCAGAGAGAGAGAAGCTATTCCGAAAAGGAAGGTCTGGAGGACCCACTGTCTTCTGGCTCCAGAGTCCGTGATTCCTTTCGCACTGGAAAAAGTGTGTCATGGATTAATACACGGCATATAACCTTTCAAAGGCAAATGGAACTTGCACAGTAATTAAGAATAAAAACACGACTTGCATTTTACAGATCATAATTGGTAAAAGCTGTTTTAACCCTAAAAATGTCAAGACAGTTTACACAGTGAACTCTGTTGGATAACTGAACAAATCTGGATTTGCTTTTTTCCCCCATTTAAGACAGGAACCGTTTCAGGAGCAGATCATTGCCTAAGCCAGTGTTTCTCAACCTTTTTTCAGTCAAGGCACCCATTAAAATTATGGACAGTCTTGAGGCACCCATTATAAATTGGGGTGCCTCAAGACTGTCCATAATTTTAAAAAGGGCACCCCACTCTAAAGTGTGAAAAACAATTCTAATAGTTTTATATAACGCAGCAACATCCACACATGTATGACACCATATGTTAGAGGTGATTTATTTTTCCAAAGCAAAATACACTTTTGCACACTGGTAGAATTCCAGTGTTTCTCTGCTCCCTCAGTTTTGCTCCATCACTGAGCTAATGTGACCCCAGCACTGATGGAAAGGGGTAAGGTAGGGTCAAACTAGGATGCTGTGTAGGCAGCTGACATCCTCCTTATTAACGGATGATGTCATTGGTTTTCAGGATACTGGTGGCTAGAAGGTCATAATAACGCACAATGAAAACTTGTGGCTTTGTGTAACTAATAGGCAGGCTTGTTCCACCCGCTGGCTTGTATACAAACGTTTTGGGCAATTTTGTCAAGGTACCCCTGAAGAAACTTTAAGGCACCTCAGGGTGCCTGGACACCCTGGTTGAGAAAGGCAGGCCTAAGCTCATTCACAATCCTGATACTTTAGGGCACAGGTGTCAAACTGGCGGCCCTCCAGCTGTTGCCAAACTACAAGTCCCATGAGGCATTACAAGAGTGACAGTTACAAGCATGACTCCCAAAGGCAGAGGCATGATGGGACTTGTAGTTTCACAACAGCTGGAGGGCCGCCAGTTTGACACCCCTGCTTTAGGGTATGAGGGAGCACATGACATGCTCCCTGCCAATCTACAATACAGCAGTTGGAGCATGAGTGGCCAAGATCAGAGAGGTTGGAAAACAGCCCCAACAAAAAGGTACATTTTAGGCGCCTAAAAGTGTTTAAAACATGGCAATTGGTTTGGCTTTTAAATTCAAATTAAGTGATAGGTTTGTTCTATGCTTACAGGAAAGAAGTCTTGTTTAAAACTTCTGGAATAAATATAATAGTATATTTCCATCCCGTTCCATAACAAATTATAGAAACAACAAACCAGATGTGCCATGCTGGATATTTATACAGCAATGATGAACAGAAATCACGTTATAACAGAGAATGAGTAAAACTCCTCCAGATTTAGTTTAATCTCTGAATCACACAGTACACAGATTCAGCTTAATCACAGTGGGTTGCTATGGTGTTAAAGATAATTGTTATAATATGCAAACTGAAAAGATTACATAAACCCCCCCACCACACTAGGGATTGTATTTGTGGGGGTCAATGGTTTAAAAAAAATCCATTCCTAGAGCATGTTGCCATCTAGTGTATATAATGGAGTACTTCACAAATTCCAAACAACCTCTGAGCAGAAAATTAAAGAAATAACCAGTTTCCACTAAGCAATGTCAGGAACCTCCAGATTAAAAAGTATCATACCAAAAAATCTACCCATAAATACGCTGGCATTTAATCCAGAGTCATGAGCATGGAGACACCAGGATTCACTGTGTAGCTGTAGATTGTATTATAAATTAGGCTCTAATTATTGTGCCACATTCTTCTATGCAAATACTTTAGAGAAGATAAAAGGTTGGCTGGACTTTTGAGGCACTACAAAATTTCACAAATAATTTTTTTTAAAATATATAACATTTTATTTATACAAGACGACATCTATGAAAAAGCACAATTCCTTAGAAAAATTTAAAACAGAAGAACAATGTAGTTAACAAGTTATTAACCCTGGATGGACTTTTGTCTTTTTTTCAGCCAGACTAACTATGTAACCCTCAACAAGTTATTGCTCTATCATCCATTTCAGGCGGTAATACACTTCACCGTGGGTGTAGCCCAATGTTCCAATTATCCAGCTTCTTTTGGCGGTCATCCATAGGCAACCTTGGGCTCAATGTGTTTCCTGGGCTATAATAATCCACTTCGCAGGAGTGTGTGGGGTCAATCTTAGGAAAATATTAAAGGCTAAGTTCACCTTTTATAAAAAGAATAAAATTAACATTTTTGCAGGCAAAAAAAAAATGTGCATTTATTATTTCTGTACTCTGTAGCCTGTAACACACTGCACACACTGCACCAATCAACAGATCACGAGTACAAAGCAGACACTTATCACAGCTGTCTGCCCATACCTTCTATAAGCAGACACTTACCACAGCTGTCTGCCCATACCTTGTATGGGCAGACAGTTGCTGAATTGCAAGTAGAATCAATGAACTATGAAAGTGCTCACCAGCACACTCACAGTTGAGAACTACAAGCTGTCGGTCATTGAGGCCAACAGTACTTGTATTTCATTCATTCACAGAACTCGGAATAAAAGACAAAGCCTTGTGGGTGGAGCTCAGCACAGTTACGCGGTTTTTAAATTCTGACAGCGGGCGTTGTCTAGGGCAACACAAAACATGAATACATCACTGCCGCCAACATGCATGGTTTCAGTGGACCCCAGAAGCTCAAACCACCTTTGACAAACATCTTTCTCGCAGGATGACTGGGCTTCTTTTGCTGACACTTGCAGAATTCACATACAATAATGCAGCCCACTTTTCCACAAACTAAGCTCTGTTTTGGGCCAATCATGACTTTCATCCTACCTTCCTACCAGATATCATGCCGGAAACAGAGTTACCTGCTGTCCAAGATACTCTCTGCTACTCCATGAAGTCATGCAGAAAGCTCACGAAGACAGCTTATGAGCTGCTTAAACGCTTGCCCGCCCCCCTAAAGAATTACTGCTACAGGGCAGCAGGGCTGAGCAAAATCGTGTGTGTGTGTGTGTATATACATATACACACACACACACAATATTTGCAGTTAAGGGTAAAGGGCGCTCATGCGCCCCTGCCCCCTGCCATTGGCAGTTGCAGATGTCAATCTCTGCGTCCCCAGCCGGAGACTCCCCGCCAGCACCTGGCAATCACCAAGTAACACTGACAGGTAAACACAGGCCTCTCACCTGCCAGAAAGAATATGCTGCTGTGTATGTCTCTGCACAGCAAAGAAATACACAACAGCATGTTTCCCTAGTAAAATACACACAGCACAGTTAACCCTTTGATTGCCCCAGATGTTAACCCCTTCCGCCCAGTGTCAGTGCTTTTTATTAGCACTGATCACTGTATTAGTGTCATTGGGATATCAGTGGCAGTTGGTCAGATCCCCCCACCCAGTGTCAGAATGCCCGCCGCAGTCCCACTATAAGTCGTTGATCGCCGCCATTACTAGTATAAAAATAATAAATATAAAAATCCCAGTATATATACACCACCATTTGTAGACACTATAACTTTTACACCAATTAATTTTCACGTATTGGGATCTGATTCTAGTGCGCAAAAATAAATAAATAAATAAATCGCACTGCACAGAATTCGCATGTGATTTGCACAGTAATGAGGTGTGGTTCCTGTGCAAATCACATGCGATATGCCGCACCGCACAAGTGTGAACCCAGCCTCAAGCTTCATTTTAGACAAACATGTCTATACTTGCCTGCTCTGTGCAGTGGTGTGGCGTGCATTTGTATTCAGCCCCCTTTACTCTGATACCTCTAATAAAAGTCTAGTGGAACCAATTGCCTTCAGAAGTCACCTATTTAGTAAACTGTGTGTAATATAATCTCAGTATATACCCTGTTCCAAATTATTATGCAAATTCTATTTAAGTGTCACAAAGATGAAATATTTTGTTTTTCACTTTAACTCATGGATGGCATTGTGTGTCAGGGCTCTTTTGATCACTGAAAACAATCTCGGACACCTGTGATAACTATATTGGCAGGTGAGCCCAATTTAAGGAAAAACGACTAAAGGAGGGTGTTCCACATTATTAAGCAGAGCACCATTTTCAAGCAATATGGGGAAGAAAAAGGATCTCTCTGCTGCCAAAAAGAGTGAAATAGTTCAATGCCTTGGACGAGGTATGAAAACATTAGCCATTTCATGAAAACTTATGCGTGATCATCGCACTATTAAGAGATTTGTGGCTGATTCAGAGCACAGACGGGTTTGTGCAGATAAAGGCACATTGAGGAAGATTTCTGCCAGATCCATGCATCGGATCAAGAGAGCAGCTGCTAAAATACCATTACATAGCAGCAAACAGATATTTTTGAAGCTGCTGGTGCCTCTGGAGTCCCACAAACATCAAGGTGTAGAGTCCTCCAGAGTCTTGCAACTGTGCATAAACCTTCTATTCGGCCACCACTAACCAATGCTCACAAGCAGAAACGGCTGCATTGGGCAGAAAAATACACGAAGACTAATTTTCAAACAGTCCTGTTCACTGATGAGTGCCATGCAACCTGGATGGTCCAGATGGAAGGAGTAGTGAATGGTTGGTGGATAGCCACCCTGTTCCAACAAGGCTGCAACGTCAGCAAGGTAGTGGAGTCATGTTTTGGGCCGGAATCATGGGAACAGAGCTGCTCGGCCCCTTTAGGGTCCCCGAAGGTGTAAAGATGACCTCTGCAAAGTATGTGGAGTTTATGACTGACCACTTTCTTCCCTGGTACAGAAGGAAAAACTATGCTTTCCGTAATAAAATCATCTTCATGCATGACAAAGCACCATCTCATGCTGCAAAGAATATCTCTGCATCAATGTCTGCTATGGGGATAAAAGGAGAGAGTCATGGTGTGGCCTCCATCCTCCCCTGACCTCAATCCTATTGAGAACCTTAGGAGCATCCTCAAGCAAAAGATCTATGAGGGTGGGAGGCAGTTTACATC